CAGGACACCGAGACGACAGCCGCGCCGCTCGCTGGCCCCCTCCACGCTAGGTAGTAACTGGGTCGTACCACCCCCTTATCGCCAAGGCTCCCTCGCCCTCCCCCAGCTCCTCTCCTCATGTTCTGCTGTTTTGTTAATGAAAAAAAAAACAAAAAAAAACTTAAAAATATCAATTTCTCGAAGTGTCCTCATTAATCAATAATGCCAAAGAGTATGATGCTTATAAATAATTTGTAGGACCTGAGATCTAAGCCAATGCATGTGGCAGCAACACTGATTTTAATGCAATATTCATTTTTTCTGCAGTGTCAGATTTTAAACCAAAAAATCTACCAAAAAAAACGGAACGGCTGCTGCGCCGCGGCTGAATCTTACGAGGAGCATTTGAACGCAACATCGAATCACATAACGAGCCGTTGAGACGAACACGCGGCGCCACCGCCCTCTCGTGGCGGAGCGAGCGAACTGCCGCGCTCGTTCGTCCTCAGGATGACGACGAGCCCTGTGGCAGTGAGAGCGTGCGGGCAGAGCGCGCTCAGTGCACACGAGAAGCTGCTGAAGGCCGTCGGAGTCGTGCTCGTGCGTTGTAAATTATGTACATAAGTTGCTGATTTTATTATTCGGGTTCACATGAATGGCGGGTCGCACAACTCGGAGCCGCCGACCCGAGCAGCGAGTGAGGGAATCTGTAGAGCAACCAGCAACCGCTGTCTGAGCGGACCGAGCCTCGACGACTCCGGTGGGGATTTTCAAGCCGACACCGCCGCGGAAAGCGTTCACACAATATAAAGAGAACAAACTAACGGAGCAGAGATTAGTATTGGTTTTTTTTTTTTGTAAATGTATTTTTTCAGTGGGTGTAATAATAATAATAATAATAATTTTGTAGGCAGACAGCCCAGTGTAAATCTCATGTAATAAGGTTTGTAAAAAAAAAAAAAAGATAAAGGAATAATAATAACAAAAAATAATAATCCAGTTATCAGTGAGTTAGCTAGCTATCTGCGCTGAGCTGCTCGTTTTTCTTTGAAAGAAATATATCGCTGGACCGACGACCTACGATGCTACATTTGGGTGAGTGATGTTTGTTGTCATTTGCTATTTCAATTACAATGCAAATAAGTCTTTAACCTTATTCCAAGGCTGTGGTCCTCAGGGAGACGTTGTTATTGTGTGTTCAGTGTGTTTAAGCACTACTGGATTGCCTATTAGACATTTATCCCCTCCTATGGGTGCTTGTTATTGTGAAACACATTATGCTGTGTAAAAACACTTAAGTCAAGTGCAGACCTGCGGACAGAGTAGCTGACAGGCCCTCAGACACCAACTGTTCAGCCCCATCATTTGAATGATTTGCCTGTGCTCAGGGCATTAAAAGACCAGCAGGGTTTGGGGATTTTCATTTGTGGTGTCAGTCACTGTGCTCTTGCCCTGTGTGCTGATTGTACTCTGTGTCTTTCACCGTTTGCATGGCGTTTACTAAAAGTCAGCTGAGCTACCGGCTAGCCAATAGCGTTACTTCATGTTGTCTCCACATCCTGGCATCACTGTGTCATGTATGCTGTAGCCTATAAATAACATACACTCATTGCATTTTGCCTCATAGGCAGTGGCTGCTTGCACGACCGGTCACATCCTGGGTTATCTGCTCTAAGCTATTATAACATACACGTATATATGTTAGGAAATGAACCTAAAAAGCAGTCAGAATGTCAGCTACACCCACATGCATCTCATCCATAAATTATGCACAACATGCAGCACCCCCGTCCTCAACGCCTGTATTGATATTGTATAGAAACAAATCAAAACATTGTATCTGAGAGTTCCACTGGGAGCGATAGTGGTGTACTCAAAACATTAGGGGAGGACGCTTCCTCTCCTGAAAAAGGCTGACAGCTGCGAAACTACTGAAATCAACACTTTGCTGATCTCGGATGTACTCCGTCATCCATAAACATTCAGACACCATTTGCAGGAGTAAAAAGGGGCTCAGTGGTTGATATGAGCTCCAGGAGTAGTAAGCTACTTTAGCAACATGTAATCCTGATTCATCATTGGCTGATTAAGGAGCCTTTCTCTCACCTGGATTAGAGGAATCCTTTGGTATGGGATGGCTCTGCTCGCTGAGGGGAATGAAAGAGAACAAAAAGGGAGGTTAGACAACACATATTCTCTCTGTCTGTCTCTCTCTCTTTCTATCTATCTCTCTCTCTCTCTCTCTCTCTGAACAGTACTGTGTGTGTGCTACCTACACTGCACTCTCCCATGCTTGACCTGGATTGGACAAAAGTCCTTGTTGTGTTTTCAGCCTTGAGTTTCCCTAATGGGAAGAGAACAACCATTGTGTGTTTGATTCTAGTGGCCAGCATTTGATAGTTTTCATCACATTTCCTGGTCTGAAGACGCCCTGGGAAGCAACATGTGCTGAACCAACTCGTGCAATCATTGACATTGTTGCCATGGGGTTTGGAAAGTACCTGATAGTGCTTGGAATAAAGAAAAAAAACAAAAAATCAAGAGCTTTAAAAGCGAGTATTAAAGAGATCCTTGTATTTCTATATCTCTCAGTTTGAAGTTTAGACGTCTATAGCGCTGGTCCAAGCATGATCTGTATTCCTGTTGATCACTCCCCATGTAGCACAAGCATACAGAGCTTTCTGCTGTCTGTTCTCTCATATGCAGCTGATAAGCTAGGCTGTCCACAGACCTGTGTATTTGTGGTTATTTGTCTCCTTTAAAGGTCCAGTGTGTAACATTTAGGAAGACCTATTGACAGAAATGGAAAATAATAAACTCTAGGTATGTTTTTGTTAGTGTATAATGACCTGAATATAGGAATCATTGTGTTTTCCTCACCCATGTTTCTCTACAGATGTCGGCTGTCGCCTGCCAAAGAGTCCGTCGTGTTGAACCGCCATGTTTCTACGGTAGCCCAGAACAGACAAACCAAACAGTGGCTCTATAATATAGTATATTAAGGCCCAGTCATGCAAATAAATAATGTGCTATATCATGCTATATATACAGCTTTCTATAAACAATATTTTGAAAAAAGCTTCCGCCCATCACTGGCTCTTTAGCTACTGATCACAATAAAGCAAGAATAAAAGTTTTAAAAGAGCTTTATGTGTTGGGCCTAAAAATGGATTGATATGCACATTAGCACATTGAATTAGATATTGCCTAAGTTGCGTAATTTAATGATTGTATATGGACATGTTAATCAGAAAAGGTTTCATCCTTATGGAATATGATGGTGCCTGGCCTTCCATCTAATTAAGTCAAACCTTTTTAAATCTTTGTACCGTACTGGGTTAGACTTGTACATGTGAATATCTACATGAATTGTGGCCCTTCATTTTGAAAAAAATGTCCTTAAGTTCTTGAAATGTATCATTACAAAAGAGTGGCAACCCTGATTGAGTAGTTAGAGCAGTTTTAATTACATTATCGTTTCTTATTCAGTTGCACATACACTGCTCTTAAATTACTGTACTGAATTTAGATGAATGGTGCTTTTTTTTAAGGGTGATTTTTAAGATCTGTTCATTAGCTTGTGAGTTTATTTTGTAGCATTCCCTCTTCCCTCACTGTGCACATTGTCTTGAACATTGTAATTGATCGTAACTGAGCCACACAATCATAGTTTGAGCCTGACGGCCTCCTGTTTTTCACAGCGACAGCAGCACAGACAAAGTCAGCGCTTTGAAGGTTTACACCTGCCACTTATAGTGATGTATCCTGGTGCGACTTTATGACAGCAGTCATGCCTGTACGATACAGCCTCACTGAACAAACATGGTCTTTGTTTTTACCTGCCGTTGTGGTCAACAGCTGAGCTGCAGAGTTCAGATACAGATCTGTGATCTTCACAATACTTGCTGCTTGACATGGAGCCCATTTAGGTTTTGGCCGGCTGCTCTCAGACCTTGTGCTACCTCTGCCCCGTCTACCCACATTACTTAGCACCCATTTCCCTTTTAAATCTCTGTGGGACTAATGCTGAATTGGACAAAAGGCTGGATACATTTGTTGCATCAATCAAGCGTGGAAAAGTTGTTGTTACAGGCAGGTATTGGTGGAATTGGTTAAATGTGGTCTGTATTTGATCTACAGGAATAAGAGGTATTCTATTACTTAATTAGCTAAATCCAACACCATTTCTGCATACTTCTCTCTCAGTTCTCAGTCTCCAGTCAAATGTATCTACTGAGCCTTTCCACGCATCCCTGACTCTCTGTCTGCTGTAACAAAGCTCACTCAGTCCTGTAATCAACAAAGGGATACTATGCAAACTATTGGCAGCTAGCTGGTAGCTGATGAAGAAACATTGTTAAATTATCGCTGGTAATACTTCTACACCTGAATTACACCTGACTATACACCTGTGCTAACGGATGAGACTTACATTTAGTAAGACGTTTGCTATTTAACTTATAATTAATCATTTATAATCATCTTCAAGTTATTTTTAATGCAAACCAACCATTCATTTAAGTCCAAGTGCACTGAACTAGCCCAGGAAAAACTGCTCAGTAGCAAAAAAATGAAAATAGAAAATGCCCATCACAATCTCCTGAAGACAGGGTAACACCTTTTTATATTGCTTTTTTTTGTCCAACCTAAGGTCCAAAACCAAAACATATACAATTCACTATCACCGGAGTTAGCGAGATAGTTAGTATATAGTTAAATAAAGGTGGTCATTTTTTGTCCGTCGCCCCAATTGATTAATCGTTTTCGCTCCACTTAAAACTGTTTTGTTTTTTGGGGCCGGTATTTAGAGTGCAGGAAGAGCATATTAGCAGGTTTACAGCATAACCTGAGTCCTTCACCCTGTTCTCTCTTGGCCCTCTGCACCCAGTCTCGCTGTGACACTGGACATACCAACGGAAACTATTCCTATGCTAATGTAATCACCTCATGTTTTCAACCTTTTCCAAGCACTAAAAGCATTCCTCCTCTTCCTCTCCTCTCCTGTCCTCTCCTCTCCTCTCCACGCACAACTGTAGCTGCTTTTGTTCAGGCAAAAATTTAGCTATAGTCACTGCTTTCATTCACACAAACATTGGCACATATTTTATCAGGCAAAATCCCCCCTGCACCCCCCAGCCCCTTTTTTGTCTGTGCCACCCCCTCCACCCTCCTCTTTATCTCTCTCTTGTTCTCTTTCACCACACATTTTTCCCCAGCCCTTCTTACTAGCCGGCCCCCTCCGCTACCATCTCTTCCTGTCCCTCTCTCTCTCTCTCTCCTCTCTCTCTCTCTCTCTCTCTGTTTGAAACTCTGCTGTCCGCCTGCTCCCACCAACCACAATCCCTTCCTGTCCCCCTCGCCACTTTTTATTCACCCTTTTCATCTACATGTCCTCCTCAATTGCAAAAACGGGGCTGCCGGTGCGCGCGCATACACACACACACACAGAGTCCCCTGGCTCTTCTTTTGTCTGCCTGCCCAATTTTCCAGCGGCAGTTTGGTTCCAGGGGATTAATGTGTGTATCCCCATGAAGTAAGGGGTGGAAAAAGTGCAGGGGGCAGATAGGGTTGCGATGCACTTGTTGTGTTTAAAGTTGCAGATTGTGTAGGAGATGTGAACTTTCTGTGCTGGCACCTTTGTTTGTCTTTGTGCAATAGAAAGCGTAACTAAAGTAGGGCTTTTTTTTTTCTCTCTTTGTCTCAAAACTTTGAGCACAGATAACTTTAGGTTACTTGCGTAACCCCTGTTTCTCTGAGGTAGCACAAGCGAGCGTCTCACTAGCGCAAAGCAAACATGGCTTTCAGCAGGTTTTGAGAGTAGAATAGAAATCACATCTTTGGCAGTCATGAAGCAAAGGTGTCATAATGATTTTCGCTGCACATTTCAGAAATGATTAGGCAGCTGCAGGTGTTCTCCCCGTGCAGGAGCCTCACAGAAGCCTGGGGGGCAGGCAGAGAGCAGCAAGTCCGATGTTCAGTTCTCATGCACTCCTTGAGCTGATAGAAAAATGAACAGACAATGATCCTGACATGTCAACAAGATGTACGCTGTGTTGCTGGAGTTTTTTTGCTGCCGTTGAGAGATGTCATCGTTTCAGCTGCGACTTTAATCTCGTTATCTTCAGCTTTGGTTTACCACTTTGGCCCATATGGGCAGTTGCTTGGTCATTTGGCTGGTGTCAGGAAATTCCTTTCGGCATTCTTTCATTGAAAGGGACATGCAGTTTGGGTGCGGGAGAGGGTTTGCTTTTGATGTTTGTGTGTGTGTATTTGTCTGTGTATAAAAGATAGAAAAGAGTGTGTGAGAGAGAGAGAAACAGAAAGTTTGTTCTAGCCTGCTGGTGTGTGTCTTATATCTTTATCTATGTGTGTGTCTATGTGCGTGTGTGTTTGGAAGGGAGACTGGGCGGGTGTGAGAGACAGTGATGGGGTTGAGCGTGTTTGATGTACTGTGATAACTCTGTCCGGTATGTGGCTTTCATGGGAACTCCTTGCCCTGGGGACATGGGCAAATAAGCTCCCGTTTAAAGGGCAACTTCCCTCTCTTTATCGCCTGTTGTTTTTCCCCCCTTTATGTTCCCCACATCCTGTTGGCCTTTACCTTTCTAGTCTCACTGTACACTACGGTGTGTCCCCCCTGGGTTGCCGTAACTCAGATAATTGTCTTTTAGTCACGGTCACAGTAGTCTTAGATAAGTAATTTGCTCTGTAGTGTCGAATAAGAAGTTGATAGAAATTGAGACGGGATAACTGATCATTGAATTATTTGTTTAATCATTTAATGACCTACATGCTCTGACTAAGTGATTGATACAAAATAAAAATGAAAGCAATTGTTAGTCACAGCCCTGTAGATATGTTTCATTTTTCAGACACTCCCATCTAATCATTTTATCTATAAATGGTTTCTAGTTCAAACTTCCAGAACAGAATCACTTTAACAATTTGCAGTCACACACAGTAGAATATGTGGCAGTGATTTCATGATTTGTTTTGTTGCATTATGGTATTAGGTGCGCAGTGTCTTGCTGGCTTAACGCTAATTACAGTTTGTCTCGCAGATAATGTGTCTGTGTCTCAGGAATGTTGCTGAACTGGAATTCTTTCTTTTTCTTCGGGAGCCTCTTAGCAGAATATCAGCCTATTGTGTTTTTAATTTGACTGACAGCTACTTGCATTGCATGTCAGGCTCCTTTGCTTTGAGCTCGAAGAGACAACAAGCTTGATGTAAGTATTAATGACCACGCTATAAAAGAGATAATAGCTACTGTGAGCCACTGGACGAGCCCCCACTGATAACGGCAGGCTTTGCTCATTAAAATTGAAGAAAAAGTCTAGACTTGCTGCTGCTTTCAGTGAGGCCGCCTGTCAGTGCAGACACATTTCAGCAGCCAGGTTGGACTGTACATGTGTGGTCCTTGTGGGTAGCTTCATACCTAAGAGTGCTGTAACCCTAGACAGGGGTGCATACAGTGGCCCTTGAAAGTCCCACATGTTCAGTTGTAAAGTAATATGGGTTGCGTTGTAAACTAATATGTAAAGTGAGTTAATACTCTGACCTAGACTGCACTTTTTACTTTCCATTTACTGCACCATTACACTCCAGGACAGGCACATTCCTGCACTGCAGCTTTTGTTTTTGATATGCATTAGCACGCTCTCTTCCTGTAAGTTCAGCTGCTTACTCATAGACGGTGACTTTGGGCTTTATTACATCCGTAACTGGTAGCCCAAGCGTGTCTCTTAGATATTGGCTGCAGAGTCACTTCAGGGCTGGATGGTGTAGTAATGAAACAGCTCTGATGCAGCCACTGAGATATCACTGGCTGTCAGAAGGCAGAGGAGATACAACACCCGGGGACAGATGGAGAGTGAGGAGAAGTGCAGATAAAGATGTCATGAGAAAGATGCCCACTAGCGTACACACACTCTCGCACACACACACACACACACACACAGACGCACACTGTGAATGAGCTACAGGACTGCAGCAATATTGCCATGTCAGAGGAAACCTGCTGTGTTCAGTTTCACCTTATGTTGGCAAAGGATATTACCGAGGGCCAATTTAAAACTCTCTATTCTCACCCTGACTGAATGGTTGACTGGGTATGCACTGAGTAATACTGCGCTGGTGATAATCGTAATCATAGTTGTGTATATTTATGAGCCCTTTGTCGCTGATGTGTGGTAGTCACTCCAGCGTAGTTTGAAAATCCCTCTGTGTATGAATTATTCACGCTCCACCGGCCCATAGTTCATCATCCATATTTAATGTTTGGGATCGCATACTCCTAACTGCAGTTTTCTGTTGACTAATGGAGCCGTTGAACACAACTTTAGTCACAAGACGCTGATAAAAGTGCACTTGATGATTGATGAGGTCATGCGTAGTTTGTGACCCGGTAAGACGGATATTCTTTTGGGCAAAGTTAAGGCCTTAACAAAGATGAAGTGGTTGCTCTCCTCAATGGGTTTTGGAATATTCTTCCCATATACAGGAACGTGTTGGACTGCCAGAGTTCACTACTAAGTTTGAATTAACATTTTCCAGTTAATTACCTCAGGTCACTTTGGCAGGCGGCCGTGGAAAAAGACCATTTACGGACATTTCCACTTTCTGAAGTTTTACCCTGTGTCTGATTACTGGAAACATTGTACCAATTATGGAGATCTTCAGGATCTACTTCACACTAGGTTTTTCTTTAATGCTTGTTTCTTTAATGTAAGTTTTAGAGGCTAACAACACTCCATGTTCTTAAGGGAAAAACTGTCTCTTTGCAAGAATTAGCAGTGGTTGGGCTTACAAGAAAGAGCTGTTCCAAGTCTTCTTAGTGGAATCTTTCAGCATTTCATATCCAATCCTTTCCAATTTACACATATTTTTACACAGACTTACTAGGCTACTGTGACAGTCCATTTCCTTACAAAGATGCTGTGAGGATTTTCTGTGATGTTACTTATTTGATGTTGGTCCATTTTATCCCTCTAAAGTACAGGGGAGCCTCTAGATTTCCTATTCAAATGTATCTCATTTTATACAAATAATGCCGCTTACATTCTTCCTATAAGAGTTAAATATGGCAATGACATGACGATACTTTTCTTCCCTGACTGTCTAAATATTAATGCAGTGTTTTGTTTTTGTCTTGCAGGGTTTACTTGAAGATATTCACACAGCAGTTTGAAAGAAAAACACAGCAGCTTTCCCAACAGGCTTGAAAAACTCTCCTGGTTTTGTGTGTTTTTGTAAGAGCTGGGAGACGTGTGGTTTACTTGGTTTGGTACTGCAACTAAGTGAAAAGAAAATTTAGGAAATGGTGAGAAGAAAAGTGAGGACAGAAACTATTCTCTAACAGCTGTGGTCTCACCCTCCTGTGCTACTGTAAAGTACCTAACAAAAGGAGGCAGGGAGACAGACAGCGGAAGAAAAGTGGGAGGGTTTGATCAAGACCGGCTTTCAGTCACCTGCAGCACTGGAAGAACAGCCTAATAGAGTAGAAGGGGTGAGTGGGTGACCACAGAAAGAGAGAGAGACGGGGACTGACAGAGGAGCAAAGGTTTGGAGGAGGAGGAGGAGGAGGAGGAGGTCTAGGAGGAGTGGGAAAGGCCATATCCCATGGCTACTGACCCAGGAGAGCCCACAGGCACCGAGGATTCCTCGGAGAAACCTGATGGACAGAGGGAGGAGGACACGGAGCGGGAGGGCAGGGCTGACCCACAGAGAGAGAGGACGCACAGCACCCCCTCGGACTTCCCCTCCTCCCAGACTCAGGAGAGGAAAACAACAGGAGGAGAGGATGGAGCAATCCGAGGAGGAGGAGGAGGAGGAGGAGGAGGGGAAGCCAGCCAGGCGGGTAAGGAGAACCCAGTTAGACCGATTTCATTCTCCACACCCTCCTTACCAGTTGACACTGGCCAGAAGCGACTGAGGAGGGAGAAGCGCTTCTTCAGGAAGAGTGTGGAGATTTGTGAGGAGGACGATGTGGTGGAGGTGCCCCCGGAGGCGCCCCACAGTGCCCCCCACCTGGAGCTGCGTTCCTCTGACTCAGTCTTCACCAGCAGTGCTCAGCAGCAAGGGGTTGCTTCATCCTGTGCTGCCCTGGGCCATGACCCATCCTGCCCCAGCTCTAGCCAGGAGCCTGGCAAGGATGCTCCTTCCCTCACAGCTGCCCAGAGGGGGAAGGAGAGGGACCGTGAGCAGGAGGAGGAGGCAGAGATGAAGGCCGTGGCCACCTCTCCTGGAGGCAGATTCCTCAAGTTTGACATTGAACTGGGCAGAGGAGCCTTCAAGACTGTGTATAAAGGCCTGGACACAGAGACTTGGGTGGAGGTGGCTTGGTGTGAACTTCAGGTAAGATTAACTGTTCTTTTTTCCCCCACACTTTTCAGACTGTGCTGCCAATTATAAATTCTGTATTAGCTGGCACAAATTAGCTGCAAGATAGAATCAACCCAAAACAAATAATGTGCTTTAAGAATCCAGTATGTGTAGCCAACTCTAAATGGAAATACTTGATATCAACAAATAATATTTCCAATTAGTGTGCTTTGGAGAGCGTTAAGCCCATTGTTGTTCTTTTGAAGTGAATTGTATTAGATGTGTCCCAGAAGCTCTTCCTCCTGAAATCTGGAAATCTCAGCACGTTGTCTGCTTGCTATTCATACTGCGAGACCGGGGTGAAAAGGAGGAGCATCGCTTGAAGCTGAATGACAGCACAAAGTGAAAGTGGAGGATTTGCCTTTTCCAGGCCTCTTATGAATAATAGAATCATGGGCTGCCAGTGCTTCTTCTTGTTGTGGTAGGGTATCCTATTAGAAACAGCATTTTCCACATTTGGCTGAATTATATTAATGACACTTTAGTATTAATTTTAGGGATTGTATTGATAAGACTCTAGGTCTAGAAGGTGTGTGTTCACTCTGCATTGTAACTTTAGGGAAATTGCTTCATAAAGAACCTAATTTTGAGACTAATCAAGAAGTGAATGTATAACAAGTTGAAGCATTCACATTCTTACTATAAAGTACATGGTTAGAATTTTGTTGGTAGTTAGGCAAGTTTTAACATGCGCCGAATGCAGTACGTTACAGCCTACTCTTGTTTATTGTGTAATGTAATGAGGTATGCAATGGAAATGAAAGTGAAGCTCTAAATAGGATGCATTTTGTGAGCACAGAGCAAATAGGAATACTGTAGCAAATGTAGATGTAACAATAGCAAACATTACTGTAAGAAACTCTTTGTCACGCATTGACACTGCAGTGGGAGGAACATAATGAAAGTTGATAAACGTCGAACACAGAGCGCTGTCAAAGTCTTTACAGTACATACTGTAGACCACCGGATTTAACATACTGAGAAGTAATGGGAAACATTGTTAGATGGTGTGAATTCAACATGTGGTGGGAGACAGACTTGTGGAGGAGAGAAGAAATGCATCCCTCTGACTCTTGGCCCCACAATAGAGAGCAGTGTTATGGTAAGCCATCTGATTTGACTGCTGGCTTTGTGTGAGAAGAGTCAGTCATGTGTTTGGTTTGGAGCTAATTCCAAAACAAGAGCCTTGACTAATCCTTGAGATCATGCACGTCTGTTGGACTAACAAGCAGCAGGCATGCCCCCCATCACCTATTCT